GACCTACTGGGCTCCGGCAATCCTTCTGCCTCAGCCTTCCAAGTAGCTGGAACTACAGGAGCGCGCACTACCACACCCGGCTAATTTTTTTGATTTATTGTAGAGATGAGGTCTCGCCAAGTTGCCCAGGCGGGTCTCAAACCCGTGGGCTCAGGCAATCCACTCATCTCAGCCTCCCAAGGCGCAGGATTACAGGCTGAGCCACTGAGCCCGACTATTTCCATTGTGTTAAGTGTAAAAAGGTCCAGACATGATCATAAAATTTAAATTGTATACAAAAAAATAAAATCCTTACTGACTACATGATGACATATTATTATTATTTTTGAGTTGGAGTCTCACTCTGTTGCCTGGGCTGGGGTGCAGTGGCACGCTCATAGCCACCCCAGCATTGACCAGCGATCCTTCCACTTCAGCCTTCCAAGTAGCCAGAACTACAGGCATGCACTAACATGCCTGACTAATTTTTTTATTTATTGTAGATACAAGGTCTCACCAAGTTGCCCAGGTTGGTCTCGAACCTGTGGGCTCAGGCAAAGCACTCACCTCGGCCTCCCAAAGTGCTGGGATTATAGGCGTGAGCCACTGTCAAATGTTCTGCCAAGAAATGTAATCATAACTGGACAGCTTTTGTGATTTTTGCCTTCATAAACCCTCTGCTCACTCTGTTTGGGGTCAAGAGTTCTGTGTGGCACCAAGCCCACTCTCGACTGCTGGCTAATAAAGGACTCAGATTCAACTTTCTGTGCACTGACGACTTCTTTCTCACACTTCGGCTATAACAGTCCTGTGTCGTTATGAAACACTGATTCCTCCCACTTCCGATGGCTCATACATAAGGGGCATGAGTGATTCCCAAAAGAACTCCCTTTTTCTGTTATTTGATAAAACAAATTACTTATTTCTTTATCTATCTATCTATTTGAGTCGGAGCCTCACTGTAGGTGGAGTGCAGTGGCACTCTTACAGCCACCATGGTCTCAACCTGCTGGGCTCAGGCAATCCTCCCTCAGTCTCCAGAGTCGCTGGGATTACAGGCATGCACCACCACGTCTGATTTTTTCGCTTATGTAGTGACAGGGTCTCACCAGGTTGCCCAGGCTGGTCTAGAATCCCTGGACTCAGGCAATCCTCTTGCCTCCGCTTCCCGAAGTGCTGGGATCACAACAGGCGTGAGCCACGGCACCCGGCTCAAAACAAATGATTAAATCTAAAGCTCAGCCGGGATCGGTGGCTCAGTCTGTAATCCCGCGCTTTTGGGAAGCTGAGGTGAGTAGATTGCCTGAGCCCGCGGATTTGAGACCCGCCGGGGAACTTGGCGAGACCTCATCTCTACAATAAATCAAAAAATTAGCCGGGCGTGGTAGCGCGCGCCTGTAGTTCCAGCTACTTGGAAGGGTGAGGCGGAAGGATCGCCGGAGCCCAGCAGGTCGAGGCTGCGGTGGCCGGAAGCGGCCACTGCACTCCAGTCTGGGCGACAGAGTGAGACTCCAACTCAAAAAAAAAAAAAAAAAATCTAAAGCTCAGTGATCAGCTACAAATCCTATCTGAGCCCCGATCTCTCTGATGTATCATTTTAGGGATGAGAACCTAGAAATGCAAAGTCTATGTTGCTGATCATTGTGGTGAACTGTTCATCGTCATTTCACAGATTTATATTGATGACACCAAAAGGCCTCGAGCCCAGCACTCCAGAAGTCTGAGACTTGCTGGGACAGTGGACTGTGTGGGCTGTTTCGGCGTTGCGTCCATCTGGTCACCCTGTGCTGTAAGCATCCAATATTGACACACACAGATTCCTGCTCAGGATCTCACTTTTGAAGACAACAGCCAGCCTTGTGTTTATTAATTGCCTAAGATTTTAAAGCAAACGTTCTCCCTGCATGTGGGGAGAATAAGCTGTAGGAATTATGCTTAATTCCCCGCGTGATTGAGAGGGGGAGAGCCAGCCTCTGCCTAGCCGTGTTCAAGCACAATGAAGGCAGAGTGGACACGTCCTGCTGCCTCCGCAAGTCCATTCTTCCTGTGGCAGCCAAAGAACATGCTCATCATGGGAAAGCCCAAACTCACCCGTGTTGAGCCCCGCCATCGAGAGAACACATTGCAGGTGGAGTCCCCAGAGCCAGCCTGGGTTGCACTGAAAGTCACACTCTCGGGCCTGATATCTTACGTTTGCTACATGTTAACTTTACGAGGAACTTTCACAAGATTTTAGTCTATGATGCCCTCATAGGAACATGTTCAAGCCATTGCTTAGAAAGGAAAAAGAAAGAACATGGACCATGTGCCTATATATCCACACACTGGGCTTAGATAGAGTATTTCAATTCAGCTGCTGCTGAGATAATAGGATGGGAGGAGGAAGATCAATCCATGATGGGCCTGGGAATCTAAGCTGTAATAATCTGATGTGGAACTCGAGGAAGAGGACAGAACCTCTTCCCACCTCCATCAAAACACTCGTAATGACCCTGACCTCTGCCCACCTCCATGAGAACGCTCAGCTCCCCCCACATCCTCGATCTCCATCAGAAAGCTCAGCCCCCTCCACGTCATCTGCCCACCCCCATCAGAATACTCAGCCTTCCTGGCTGCACACGATACAGACCAGAAGTGCAGATTCGTCTCATAGCAAGTGTTTTATTAATATTGTCCTTGCTAGATTCCGGGAGAAGTAAAACAAACATTTAATTTTAAGAAACCCTTTACCAAGTTCTCCATAAAATTACATTAAATGCTGACCATCTTGTTGGGGCTTAGAAACCGTTTCATCTTGAAATTCCATACTGCGTTATTAGCATTTTCATTTCTTTCATAATTTTAACGATGCACGTAAGAAGTTTAGTTTTTCGGGGGGGATTTTCTTATTTTCTGCCTATGGATTCTACAGTCAAGGCCTGCCAGCATGTTCACTCCTGACACGTGTCCTGTGCCAGGATTGTGCATTTGTGTGTGGTTAGAAGTGATCAGTCCCAGAGCTGCACTCTGGACGGAAACTCCTGGCGTTAACTACCTCCTGCTGTGTGCTCTGCTGCAGACTTGTGTTCCCAGTCACGTGGGAAATGGCTCCAGGCAGGGCAACATGAGCGCCACTGTAGCAACACGAAACTGGTTTTAAAAAACTGTTTTACGGCCGGGCTCCGTGGCTCAGCCTGTAATCCCGCGCCTTTGGGAGGCTGAGGTGAGTGAATTGCCTGAGCTCAGGGGTTCGAGACCTCATCTCTACAATAAAAAAAAAAAAAAAAAATTA